CCAACAATATATCTATCCATCCATCCATCCATCCAACAATATATCTATCCATCCATCCATCCATCCAACAATCTATCCATCCATCCATCCAACCAACAATACATCCAACCATCCATCTATATTTAGAACTCATATTGTTTCCACCTGCAGACACTGTATTTGTGTAACTGTGCCATATTTGTTTAGCTACACACTACAGCAGCATGGAGCAGGTCATGTGGAGTGTTGTTTACATTGTTTATGTGAAAAACTGTGGAGTAAGTTTTATTTTAAACTGAACTCTTTATACAGTTAAATCTTTTTGTTTGGTGTTTTAGTTGACAATGTGGCACTTCTGACCAACTGACACAGGTGACCCCCAGGCTGCAGGGACCAAATATCAATACAAACCAACAAACCAATCAATCAATCAAACCAATCAATCCTAAATAAACAACTATTGTTTTGTAACAATCATTTTTAAAAGACTATCATAAGACATTCTTGTATATGTTTTGATTTCTGGATAATATAAAGGCTCTGTTTGACGACCACACTGGGGTCTCGAACCGGGACTTTGGAAACCCAACAAGTCCCAAACAAGTCCAGGCTGAGCTGAAATGAGTTTAAACTCCCACAGTAATCTGCTTTGGGTCGAAGGTTTCAGGAGAAAATCTGAAACAACTGTCAAAAGATCCGAACCGAACCGAACCGAACCGAACCGAACTGATCTGAACCGAGTCTCTGAGGAGAAAAAACCAGGTTAGATGAGTTAAACTGGACCCAACATGTTAATTTAATGCGTCAGGGCTCTGTGGTTCCGAATGATCCCACAGGTTCGGCACTTCCATGAGAAATCCTCCCGAACAGAACCCCGGTTCGGCCCAAATACTCCATAAAAAAAAGAAAACACCTTTTCCAGCCCTTACATTAGCTAGCAGCGGCTGTTAGCCTAGCATACCGAGTTAGCACGGAGCTAACGTTAGCACACACCGAGCTCAGCCGGGTAAAAACCCGACCCGGACCACTTCAACACACCAGAACCCGTCCCAGCCCGGGCTCCGTTTGGACCGGGCACTGTGCTGTTAGTTTCCAGGCCCGGAGCGGAGTGCTAACCGGGCTCACGGACTCAGTTCGGATGCATTCCCCTACCCACCTCCTAACATGATGGTCGCTCCCAGATCAGGTCCACATTCCACGGAAACCAGCAGCGGCCAGGTTCCCACATAGAGCCGAAATAAAATAATAAAACCCGTCTTTACTCCGCTTCTACTCTCCAGAGTCTGCGCGGGGCGGAACCGGAGCCGGACCCGGTCCTGTAGGCGGAGTAGTCCGGTGAGGCTGAGCGGCTGCTCCGGGTGTTGAGTTGGGGCGCTGCTAGTGAGGAATGCAGGCTGAAAGCTGAAACCTGCTTCCCTCCTCCTCTCCCTCCTCCTCCTCCTCCTCCTCCTTCTCCTCCTTCCAGCCCTTCAGTTCGGTCTGAAGTTCGCCTCTGATTCTCAGGCCCATAAAGGGCTGTTTCCAACCGTTTCTGTGTGTCTGTGCCCACCTCTTAAACCCCACGCCCCCGCCAGCGGGGCATAATTTATATATACACTCACCGGCCACTTTATTAGGTACACCACACTAGTAACGGGTTGGACCCCCTTTTGCCTTCAGAACTGCCTCAATTCTTCGTGGC